ACACATTCAGCTCTCGAGTCAATGACTTCACCATGATTCTGTTCACTGTGGACTCAGATCCTACAGATCCAGCTGTTGTTAACTTTGTAAGACAAGACAAAGACATTCAGAAGCTCTGTCAGACTTACAGAGGACGATATGTTGTTCTTAACATCAAAGAAAAGCAAACCATCATGAACCTTCTGCATGAAGTGGAAAATATGAAAGCTGAAGGATCCAAATGCTTCACAAAGGACATGTTCACCAAAGCTCAAATGGAGAAGGTAACAAGACTTAAAGCTGAACTGCAGGAAGTTAAACGCAGCAGTGTGGCTTCATCTGATGATGCACATCAAGCTGAACAGTCCATCAGGATGGTGCTGCTTGGAAAAACTGGCAATGGAAAAAGTGCAACTGCAAACACCATTTTGGGCAAAAAGGTGTTTTTATCCAGAGTCAGTCAGATTTCTGTGACCAGAGAATGTCAGAAAGCAGCAGGAGAGATTGATGGACGTCCTGTTGTTGTGGTCGACACCCCCGGCTTGTTTGACACAAAACTGTCCAGTTATGAAGTTCGACAGGAGCTTCTGAACTGTATCAGCATGTTGTCTCCTGGACCTCACGTGTTCTTACTGGTGCTGCAGATCGGTCGATTTACAGAGGAGGAGAAAGAAACTGTGAAAATAATCAAAGAGATTTTTGGAAAGAAGTCAGGAAACTTCATCATTGTTACCTTCACCAGAGGAGATGAGCTTGAAGACACATCCATTGAAAGTTACATAGAAGAAGACTGTTCTGATTTTGTAAAAACTCTGATTAAAGACTGTGGAGGCAGATACCACATCTTCAACAACAAAGATCCAAAAAACCGTAGACAAGTGTCAGACCTGCTGATGAAAATTGAAGCCATGTTGAAAGACAATGGTGGTGGATACTACACCACTGAGATGTTCCAAGAGGCTGAGGCAGCGATACAGAAGAAAGTGGAGAGGATACTGAAAGAGAAGGATGAAGACATGATGAGAGAGAGGGAGGAGCTTAAAAGGAAACATGAAGAAGAAATGCAAAAAATAAAAAGAGAAATGGAGGAACAGATCTCTAAATTTGAGTCTGAGAAAGAGCAGAGTATGAAACAACTCAAAGAGATGGAGGAACGCATTAACCAGGAGCGAGAAGAGAGAGAGAGAGAACAGAAAATCAGAGAAGATGAAAACAGAAAGAGGAAAGAACAGGAAGAAACTCAACGAGAACAATGGAAACAAAAACTGGAAACTTTGGAGAAGCAAATAGAATCTGAATCAAAAGAAGAGCTCATCAAAGAGCTGGAGCAAAACAGAGAAGAAATGAGACGAGAGAGAGAGGCCTGGGAGATGGAAAGGAAAGACTGGTGGGACAATAGGGATCAAGAAAGTAAACAGAGACGAGAAGCAGAAGAAGTGAAAATTAAAAAGCTGACAGAAAAATATGAAAAGGAAAAAGAAGATTATCACAGAAGAATAAAAGATTACAGTGTCAGAATAGAACAGGAGGAAAGAAAAAGAAAAGAATTAGAGAAAGACCACAAGGAAGAAATGAAACAAATGAAGCAGAAACATAAAGACGAGGCCAGAAATCAAGCTGAAGACATCAATGACTTCAAAGAGAAATACACCAGGGACTTTGAATCTCTGATAGAGAAATACAATGATGAGATAAGGAATCTGAAGCAGGAGCATGAGAAACAGAAACATAATTATGCTGATTTGCACAAGGTCTCCAGTGACAACGAAGAAAGACTGAAGAAAGAATTGGAGGAAATGCAGAAAAAGAATGAAGATGAAATTAACAAATATAAACAAAAACATAAATGCATCATAGCCTGATGACTTTAAACAGTGCAGCAGTAAAACAGAGAAGAACACATGAGTTTCATACCAGTGTTTGAAAGTGAACATAAAATAAAAATGGGCGAGTGATAGAGAGAGCACCACTTTTGTTGTTTTACTTAACAAAGCAGCAAAATGCAAAATTGCTGCAATGAAGAAGAAGACTGCTGAAACCTGTCATTTTTAGACTCTGGAAAGGCAGCAGTGTCAGCAAGACACCAACATCTGTGTTTATTATTAGAGCCATATTTTTACACTGTGAGTGTTTTTACTATTGTGCCCAGCAGGTGGTGCTCTCATAAAAGGACATTAATTTTCTATCTTCTCTGTTTGAAAGTAAAAGTAATTCAAAGTAATTCACCAAATTATTGTCTGTTTATGATTTCCACTGCAAACCTGGAAATACTGAACAGTCTACAGATGATGTATCTGAAATATTAATTGTATGATTTGTATTATATGAGCCACAAACATTTTATGGCAGGGTTAAAAACATAATTGTAATAACTTCTGAAGTGTTCTTTGCAAGTCGTATTCATTTAAATGGGAAGAAAAATAGTTGTGAAAAATGTATTTTAAATTTACTTTGTAAAGAATAAGATAACAAACTTAGATATAAAACTGGTGAATGTCAAAATACATGCACGGAATAATTACTGATATTGAGGGTTAAAAAATTATATGATGTTATTACATTATTTTCTATGTATGTCCTGGTCTGTTTAAAATAAAACAATGCATTTGAGTGATCTGTGTTTCTATATAGTTTGATGCAATTATTTCAGTACGTAGGAAATGTTTTTATTGACTTTTATTGACTATGAACAGTTTTTACTCTGACTTTATTGTTGGACACTATACGCCTGCAGGCCATAGTTTCCATATGGAAAATCAGAGTGAATGAAAAAAGTTTGTTGGTCATTATGTAATAAGAATGTTTTATAAAAATAAAATGTCCTCCTATTAATGCATTGTGTGTGGTCTGATTACTGGAAAGTCGGGAACATATATGGATATATGGCAGACTTTCTTTATAAATAATCTAAAAGGGCTAAAATGTTGTTCTTCAGTTTTGTTGGATCAAGTTACAGAAGCATAGAGCTGCCACCCAAGCAAAAGAGAAATAGAGGTATACCATGAAGACTTTACTGTTCTAACAATATACTTTTCATGTTTGTACATTATAATGGCAGTGGATGCTTGTAAGCAGGAATGCCAACAGAGAGGAAATTATACCTGTGATGAAACAGTTTTCAGCTTGTGTTGCCTTATAGTGTCAGAGAACTCCTGACTTCCACTAAGCACATCAGATAAATCCATTGAACTGTATCTCTCCCTGAGAGCCTACATACTGAAGATCGTGGCAAATGAATGTCTAAATATATGTAACCAAATCTATGTTCTCCAGTGAAGAATCAAAATTAAACCAGGTCCTTGCCATTTCCCACAGCCCCACCTGGGACTACTCTTCCTGTGATGCTACTTTTTCATTCTAAGTGGAGATTTTTAGTTGCAATGACACTACTACAATCCAGTTTTTGAAAAGAACACATGCTATTTGTATCTGTCACGGTCCGGGGCAGCGGCCGTGTGAAGAGTGGAAAGGAGGACTCAAATGCAGCACTTACTCAGATGTGAAGGTGATTTATTGACAATACTGAACATAAAGTGGAGATGGCAAACAGAACTAAGGACGAACTAAACTGGGATAAACTACACAGAGGAGTGGCAAACCTGAACATGAAGGGAGAACAGCAGGGAGAGCACGCAGGGGATTTCACAAGGTATGAATACAGACGACGCGACGAGGAGCAGAGGAAATCACACACTATAAGTACACAGAGAGACACTGGGAAATCACACACAGGTGGGGGACACAGCTGGACCTGGTTAACCTGACGAGACAGGGGAACACTGACACCAGGGACCAATAGAGGGAGCACAAACCCAAAACCCAGTATCTAAAATCCCAAAACACAAACCATCCCAAAACAGCCATGAATAATAATGAAAGTAATAACAATAAAGAACACAAACACAAAGTCACCAAGTCATGGTCGCAGGACCATGACAGTATCCTTTATTTTTAAACAAATAAGGGATCAGTTATGAGTTTTATAATGAAATTGAACCCATTCTGGTTGATTTTGGGATGTCACCTTTTCAATGATGTCTTTTTACTACAAATAGCTTTATAAAAGTAGTATTGCTGTACTTTAAAAAACCCCAACAACTTTAATTTAAATTTTCATTGTGACAAGAATATAACAAAAAACAACAAAAAGAAACAAAAAAACCCAACAAAAACAAAAGAGGAACAAATTGGGGCACTGCTCCAGGCATCATACAAATAAAGAGATATATTAGCTGAATTAAGTCACAGAATCTTCAAGGCTCTGCTTGTATTTATGCCATTTAGTCCAACGTTGTAGAAAAAGGTGACCTTTTAAACGTAGGAAGAAAGTCCACTCGGACAGGATCCTTCTTAAGCCTTCTTAAGCTTCTTAAGCTGCCTTTATGACAGCTGGGATAGGCTCCAGCACTGCCCGCGACCCTGAAAAGGATAAGCGGAAGTGAATGGATATAGTGTGCTGTTGCCATTTTGTTTTTGTGGCCCTTCGTAGAGTTTAGACATGGTTTTAGTGGGCAGACATTTGTGGGCATTTGTAAAAACTTTGACAAGATCAATTACTGGGGAGGAGGCACCCTTTATTTCTAAATTGCAAAAATGACGTACCTGCAGATATCTGAACAGGTCCGCATTTTCCTGATTAAATTCTGTTTTCAATTTTTTTTAAATGATTTAAAAGTGCCCCCTTCCACAAACAGACACAGGTTGGATTGGAAAAGGTTTAACTGCTCTGAGTATGTTGGATCTAACCTTCCAGGTGGGAACAAAATTTTAATATTGCTCCCCAGATTGTATTTGTTAACAACTTCATGCCAAATTAAGAGTGTTTTCCACAATATGGTTATTTAAGTTACCTCTCCTTGATTTTTCTACCAATCATGTTTGGGGAGGAGACTTGCCCATGCTCAACTCAATTTGTTTCCATTGAGCCTCCACTGTCGGGGAACACCAACAAACAATATTTCTCAGATGTGCTGCCAAGTAATATTCCTTTAAGTTAGGGAGGGCCAGTCCGCCATGTTCTTTATCGATTTGAAGGGTTTATAATTTTATCCTTGGTCTAACTGCTGCCCATATAAAGCGTGATATTAACTTGTCCCAAGCATTGAATTGGAAATCTGGGATTTTAATGGGTAGAGCCATAAAAAGATATGAGAATCTGGGCAACAGATTCATCTTCACAATCTGTATTCTTGTACTAAAGTCCAGAGTCAGTGAAGACCAGCGAGTTATGTGCTCCTGAATTGAGTTCGATTATCAAAGTTCAAAGTGAACAGACTATTAAAATCCTGTGAAATGTAAAGTCCAAGATACTTAATCTTGTTTGCATCCCATTTTAGCTTATAATTTTGTTTTATTGAATTGCATGAAGAGTAGTTAATTGTCAGGACTTGTGTTTTAGTTATATTTAAATTATAACCAGACAGGGCCCCAAACTCTTTCAGAGTTGACATGAGCTCAGGGAGTGACATATCAGGATTCTGGAGGTATGTAATGATATCGTCAGCAAAAAGAGTAACTACCTGTTCAGTATTGGATATGGTGATGCCTTTTAACTCTGGGTTCTGTCTTATTGCCTGGGCTAAAGGCTCTATAAACAAAGTGAAGAGCTGAGCCCGCAGCCTTGCCGGGTGCCTCTATTCAATTAAAAACTAGAGGAAAGATGTCCATCGATCTTTAACCTGGCCACTGGATTACTGTATAGTAATTGTATACATTTAATTAACTTATTGTTGAATCCTAGACGCTCTAGTACCTTATAAAGAAAGGGCCAGCTGACCCAGTCAACGGCTTTCTCTGTGTCTAGGCTTATTAATGCCATACTCAGTTTGTGATTCTTTGCTTCTTCTATAATATGAAGCGTTCTTCTAATACTGTCATGTGTTTGGTGGCCTTTTATGAAGCTTGTCTGATCTTAATGTATTAAATCCAGCAAATGGACTTCTAGTCTTTTAGAGATTCTTAAGGTACATAATTTATAGTCTACATTCAAAATAGAAATGGGGCGGTAAGATTCATAGTAATTTTACCCTCTTTAGGTAGATCAGATAAGAAGTACTCTAATTTTGTTGGCCAAGCTTTAATCTTTACCGTTTTGTTATAGTTTGATTTCTAAGTTTTTCCGTTCTTTTTCGAGATCATAATTTTTGTCTCTTACAACTTGTTGTATCCAGGGAGAAATTCAGAATAGTATTCCAGTCTTCACCAAAGATTAAAATACATTCGCTCGCTATAATTAAAGCATCAAAAAATGACTTAAAGAATTTTCTATCCCATTCTGGAGGAAGATACACATTAGCAAGTGTGATCACAAAAAAAAAAAAAACCATTTGTAAAACATGTTTGGAATCATGTATGATTTTCATTCCACTTCTCACCTGTACACCACTTTGTGTTGGTCTTTCATGTCAATAAAATTGATTCATGTTTGTGGCTGTAATGTGACAAAATGTGGGAAAGTTCAAGGGGGCCCAATACTTTTGCAAGACACTGCACATGTTTGCTTCCATTGTTAATAGCAGTCTTCAGTCTGGGTCTGTTCCCTCTGACTTTAAACATGCTGTGGTTGAACCAATCCTTAAAAAACAGAATCTGGGTCCAACAGTTCTATCAAACTACCGTCCAATCTCTAAATTGTTCTTTTTGTCAAAAGTTCTGTAGAAAATTGTCCTTTTGCAGCTCTAAACCTTTTTAGATCAACATGACATTGGTGAACTATTGCAGTCCGGTTTTAAATGCACCACAGCACTGAAACCACTTTTTAAAAAAAAAGTTTTTAATGACCTTTTAACTTTTACAGACTATAGATTTATAGATTCTGCTATTTTAATATTATTAGACCTCAGTGCTGCTTTTGACATGGTAGATCACAGGATTCTTATCTCTCGACTGGAACAATGTGCCGAAATTAAAGGGCTTGCTTTGGAATGATTTAAATCCTACTTATCTAATCGTACTTTCTCTGTTAGATTCAGAGACACATTGTCTCCAAGAACCACGCTTTTTTGCCAAGGGCCAAGGGCCAAGGCTCTACCCTTGGCCCAGTTCTCTTTTGAATTTACACGCTCCCGTTGGGATCACTTGTTTTAAAAAAAGGTATTTTGTTTCATTGCTATGCAGATGATTCTCATATTCCACTGAAATGGAAATCGGTGAATCCTGGGAAGGGACTGTTTGATTGTCTAGAAGATGTCAAGGCATGGAGGGCTCTAAATGAACAGAAAACTGAGGTCATTGTCTTGGGTCCTTCTGACTGTTATGACCTTGACACCTTAGGATACTATAAAAAACTGTTTGCAAGAAATTTAGGGTCAATGTAGATTTCAATGTACATTTAGTTAATGTATTCAAAACCAGCTTCTTTCATATTTGCATAATTGCAAAGGTTAAGCCCTTTCTGTTTCAGCAATCCATGCCTTCATCTCATCTTCTGTAATAGTCTCTACTCCGGTGTTACCTCTTCATCAAATGGCCAACTGTAGCTAGTCCAAAATGCTGCAGCACGACTCCTAACTGGCACACGCAATCAGATCATTTATCTCCTATACTTGCATCACTACACTGGCTGCCAGTCAGCTTTCAAATT